CAGCAGCATCAGCAGCATCAGCGTCATCGGCATCAACATCACCATCATCATCATCATCATCAGCATCATCATCATCATCAACATCATCATCATCATCAGTATCGCCCCTCCTCCTCCCCCTCCGCCCCCCCTCCTCCCTCATCATTATCGCCCCCCCTCCTCCTCCTCCTCCTCTTCCTCCTCCGCCTCCGCCTTCTCTTCCTCCTCCTCCTCATCATCATCATCATCATCATCATCACCATCATCATCCTTTATCCTCCTCCTCCTCCTCCTCGTCCTCCTAGCTTCCGTCTCCTCCTCCTCCTCCTCCTCCTCCTCCTCCCACCCCTCCTCCACCTAGCTTCTCCTCCTCCTAGCATCCTCCCCTCCTCGTCTCCCCTCCTCCTCGCCCCTCCACCCCCCACCTCCTCCTCCTCCTCCCCCCTTCCTCCTCCTCCTCCTCCTCCGCGTCCTCCTCCTCCTCCTCCTCCTCCTCCTCCACCGCCTCCCCTTCCCTCCTCCTCCTCCCCTCCTCCTCGCTCCTCCTCCTCCTCCTCCTCCATCCTCCTCCTCCTCCTGCTTCCTCATCCTGACTCATTCTGCTCATTCTCCTCCTCCCTCCCCTCCTCCGCCTCCGCCTCTCAACCCCACCTCCTCCTCCTCCTCCTCCTCCTTCCGCCTCCCTCCTCCCTCCTCCCCTCCCCCCTCCCCCTCCCCTCCCCCTCCTCCTCCTGCTCCTCCTCCTCTCCCTCCTCCTCCTCCCCTCCTCCTCCTCCTCCTCAACCTCCCGCCTCCACCACCTCCTCCTCTCCTCCTCCTCCTCCTCCTCCTACCTCCTTCTCCATCCCTCCTCCTCCTCCTCCTCCTCCTCCTCCTCCTCCTCCTGCTCCTCCTCCTCCTCCTAGCTTCCTTCTCCTCCTCCTCCTCTTCCTCCTCCTCCTAGCTTCCTTCTCCTCCTCCTCATCATCCTCCTCCTCCACCTCCTCATTCTCGCCCCTCCTCCTCCCACTCCCTCCTCCTACTTAGTTTCCCTAGCTTTCTTTCTCCTCTCCAGCCTCCCTCTCCCCTCAGCGCCCCTCCTCCTCCTCCCCATCCTCCTACCGCCTCCCTCCTTCCTCCTCCTCCCTCCTCCTCCCTCCTCCTCCTCCTCCTAGCTTCCACTCGCTGTCAGGGGCGCCGACGCCTCACTCCTCGTCCTCCTCTCCTCCTCCTCCTCCTCTTCTCTCCTCCTCATTCTGGCCCCTTTCCTCCTCCCATCCTCCTTCTAGCTTCCTTCTCCTCTCCTAGCTTTCCTCCTCCGCTCCTCCTCCTCCTCATCCTACTTCCTCCCTCCTCCATCTCCTCCTCCTCCTCCTCCTGCCTCCTCGCTTCCTCCTCCTCCTCCTTCCTCCTCCTCCCCACCTCCTACTCCACCCCTCCTCCACCTCCTCCTCCTCCTACCAGCTTCCTTCTCCTCCTCGCACCCTCCTCCTCCTCCTCGCCACTTCCCTCCTCCCCTCCTCCTCCTCCCCTCCTCCTCCTCCTCCTCGCCCCCTCCTCCTCCTCCCTCCTCCTCCACACCTCCTCCTCCTCCTCTCCTCCTCCTCCTCCTCCATCATCATCATCATCATCATCATCATCACACCACCACACCACCACCACCACCACCACCACATCATCAGCATCATCATCATCATCATCATCATTCGTCAGCACCTCCCCTCCTCCTCTGCTCCTCCTCCTCCTCCTCCTCCTTCTCCTCCTCCTCCTCCTCCTCCTCCTCCTAGCTTCTCCTTCTCTCCTCGCCCCTCCTCCCTCCTCCTCCTCCTCCTCCTCCTCCTCCTTCTCCTCCTCCTCCTCCTCCTCCTCCTCCTAGCTTCCTCCTTCTCCTCCTCGCCCCTCCTCGTCCTCCTCCTCCTCCTTCTCCTCCTCCTCCTCGCCCCTCTTCCGCCTCCTGCTGGCGCAGGGCCGCCGGGCGGGGCATTTGGTGTGCGCGGCCTGCCGATCGTTGCCCCCCCCTGAGATCCGATGTCTCGAAGACATCGCGACCCAGGCAGGATCGCGTCGTACAAAATGTCGACGGGAGAATTGTTTTCCCAGTTTCGGCGTCGGGGGGCCCTCGCCGGGCCTCGGGGCCGTCACAAAACGACTCAGGATGAAACGCCGATCCCTGGGAAGGATTGGGACTTCCAGGGGCCCCGTATATCGAACAAAATCAAGACGTCGCATGTCTGGGAAAACATCGTGAAAAATCACGGCCCGAGCCCTGGGCCCCATCTTTCGGAGTCATTCTTCGAGTCGGATCGATATGTGAGGCCCGGGGGCGCCCGGCTCGAAAAAATCGGGTCGCAAGGATCGCAGGGCCTTTAGATCCGACGACGCGAAAATCTGCAACGCCGGTTGCGGAATGAACGCCAGGCCGCATCGAGGTAGGAAGACATCGAAACGCGCCCCCCTCGCCCCCGCATTTCAGGTTTGATGGGGAAGCGATGGGCCCGTCGCAAGAGAGGGCGTTCATTTCGCAACACTACGCATCTCCTTCTGGCGCGGTTTTCCGCCAACTGTGAGATGTAGGGTGTCGAGGGGGCTATACTGTTACTGCATAGTGGGCGCTGATTTTGCACACGGCGACGTCGCACACAAAATCACGACCAAAACTGTAGACCCACATTTCTGCAACGTGCTTCGAGCGGGATCGATCCGTGAGGGTCGGGGCCCGAAATTAAGCGAAGACGCTCGACTCGACCAAATGGAGACGCCCGGACCTCAGGGGCAGTCCTAAATCTCCGACGGTATGAGTTTTCCGCTCCCCGTAGCTTCTCCTCGATCCCAAGCTCTGAGGCCCGCGGTGCCTCCAGAGCCATCGAACACGGGTCTGGGGCGAAAATCTCGGGAACGATCGGGGAGACGTAAGACCCGGGTACGGGGGACTCGGAAATCCCCGACGAGGTCGTCAAAAAAATGACGAGGCCGAGCCTGCATTTTGACGAGGCCTCCCGCTGCAGACATCCCACAAAACTCCTCCTCGTCAAAATCCGAGTCGCGGTCGTCAAAAAACGATGGCGAACCCGAGTCCCGGCAAACCCGGGTCTTACGCTCCCCCGAAACGAGCCCACTCGCGTAGTGGAACACCGCGACGAACAAGTTTAGCTTGGCGACTTCAGCAGGCCCCGGGGCCGGCAACAAAACACACTTAAGATTGGAAAACAGGTCCCGGGGAATGGGCCGAGACCTCTGGGGGTCGACGTCCTGAAAACATCCGCCACCGTGCCACTGGGCACGGAGTGGGCGTGTCCTCAGGTCCTTTGCCTAATCCCGTAAGCCTCAGTCCTCTCTCCAGAGGAGTCAAGGGGCTTACAAGAGGCCCCAGAGGCCCCCAAGAGGCTTACAAGGGGCCCCCAAGAGGCCCCAAACCTGCTCCCAAGAGGCCCCTGAGAGCGCTCCGAAGAGAGCCCAAGAAGCATCCTTGAGAACTCTGACCCACAGCATGGGCACGGCAGCGGCTGGGCCGAAGACCATTCGATAATGACGTCCAGGGTCTGGGGCAGTGGCCTGCCTGCTTGGGTTTGATCCCACCCCTCCCCGCACATCCCTTTCCTCCGACGGCGCACTCCTGTTCCCGACGAAGGCCCCGCGGGGGCGGCATCTCGACATCTGCCCCGCGGGGGCTGGATTCTTTGCAGGTCCCGTGGCCGGGAGACAACCTACAGAGTGCAAGCACAAGCCGCCGCAGTGTTTTGGCGTTGCCTGGATGTCATGGGGCCCCACGGACGCCGCACATTAAGCCCAGACATCCGATACCTTGGTTCTTGCCGCGTGAGGTCCCCACGAATTCCGACCTTTTCCCGAAGGCCAGATTTTCCGCCCGAGTTGTTTTTGTCGGCGGTCCCGGGGCCCAGGCGAAGGCCCTTGCAGAGGCCGAGAATGGCAAATCCATGTGCGTATATATATATATATATATACTTACATCCATATATACCTTGTACTCAAGAGGCGCCCACAATGTCCCAGAGAGCCTACGCGGGCACAGGTGTGTTTGTAGCTAGCAGCACCGCTCGGGTCGCTTTGGCACTCGAGAGCACCGTCTCAGGAGACTTCCAATCTTCAGAGCTCCGACTTTGGATATTGCACGTGCGGAATGCAATCACCAGACGCTCGAGGGCCAGCTTCTGTGTGGCGTGCAGTCTGAAGCATTCGGGGTGTCCGACGATGTACATCCGAACGCGGTAGGGCCACTGGCCTCGCGCTCCTTTGGGTGCAGCCAGCGGTTGGTCGTCCACCCCCCCCCCCGCCCAGGATCTGAGTAGGGCATAGTGCGCGGCGAGGGGGGGAGGACGAAAGAAGGAAAGCTGTGAGAGGCCCCCACTCGCTCTGTGAAGAACGGACAACTGCATACACAAATGTGTATATATATGTACAAGACTGCATTGGCGCTTCGCGCCATGCGCTTTGTTCCCGACCCTCCTCCGCAAAGCAAGCAAGCATCGCTTGCTTCAGCGGGGGGGGACCTCGAAGCTTGGACGGGCGACAGGCTCATTTTTCTGATATCCCTGGTGCCTGCTTACCACCGCGTTCGCCCGATGCGCTTGCACGCTTGTGCGCAGGAGTGGGGAAGGAATGCTGTTTTTTTCACGCGCGAAGGTCCGTTGAGGAAGTAAGGAGCGTTCCCATGACACGCCGAAGACGTCGCAGTAGTTCCGAACGAATCGATTTCTGGTAGCTTCCTGGATGCCTGGAGGGCCCCAGGCACTCAGGAATTCCTCGGTCGCCGAACTTCGAATCCACATCCCTTGCCTGCCTGTCTCGATCGAGGAACATATATTCACGATGGCAGAGGCCGAACACAACGAAAGACTGGCTATGCGGAGTGCGTTCGTTCCCGACGCGAGGGGCCCCGGAAAGCCGCACACCGAAGGCCCCTGCGGCAAAGAGCCACCCCGAACGCCTGGCCGGAGGAGGAGGAGGAGGAGGAGGAGGAGGAGGAGGAGGAAGAGGAGGAAGGAGGAGGAGGAGGAGGAGGAGGAGGAGGAGGAGGAGGAGGGGAGGGGAGGAGAGGTGGAGGAGGAGGAGGAGGAGGAGGAGGAGGAGGAGGAGGAGGAGGGGGGAGGAGGAGGAGGAGGAGGAGGAGGAGGGAGGAGGAGAGCGCCGCCGCCGGCCGCTCCTGCACCGGCCGGGGCGGCGGCGTGCCGGCGGCGGCCGCCGCAGGCGCCGCGGCTGGAGCTGCGGCGGGTGTGGGCGCCTCCCTCGGGGCGGATCCCAGAGAGAGCAACGGCTTCCCTCGGGCGTGTGCGGCCTCCCTCGGGGCCGATCCCTCGTGCGCGCCGCCCTCGGGGCCTCCTTCGGTGCTCTCCTGGCCGGTCCAGGGCAAGCCCGCTGCGGGCCCGGCCGCGCCCGCCCTTGCACAAGCCACTGCTTGACTTGCAGTCAAGGCGTCACTAAGGACGGGTGGTAAAGGACGCGAGACCTTTGGATGATGGGCGTGTTTTCCACCACCACCGCCATAAGTTGGAAGGGTGAAGGAGGAGGAGGACGAGGAGGAGGAGGACGAAGAAGAGGAGGACGACGACGAGGAGGAGGACCCCCTCAACCTCCAACTGATGGTGGTGGTGATGGAAAGCAGGCCCATCATTGGAGGCCGAGGTTGTTTTTTTGTTGGGGCGGCGGGCCAAGACCCCCCAGTGGAAACGGCCCAGGAAGGGCCGCAGAGGCAAGGGCACCGGGGCACCCTATAGAAAGGGCGCGCGCCCTGCCCTGCGCGCGTCGACTGCACTCCGCCTCGTCGCCGCGCGCGAGGCCGCGACCGCGCAAGAAAGGTGTGCGCCTCGGGCTGGAGCCTCAGCCAGGTCTGATGTTGTTCAGTCCCGGCCTCTGCGGATGGGGCCCGGCATCGGGCTTCTCGGGGCCATCAGGGCTGGGCGACGAAAAGCAACGGGCCTTACATAAGTTGGCATAGCACCCTTACGCGATGGTGTGCGCGGGCCGCCAGCGCGGCACGCTAAATACACTAAAAACGACGGCGCATACGCGCGACCTCACGCGGGAAACCTGTGCGCCAATGTCGGCGCAGACCCCGTCTTCTTCCGCCGCTCCCATGGATCCGGGGCGGAACGCTCCCCGGGGCAGGGTGGGGCCGCGGGCTGCCAACAACAGAGTGCAGGATGTCAGGGGCATCGGCCTGCGTGCTTGGATCTTGGGCCCCCCCCCCCTGCCCTCCGACGACGACGGACTTTGATTTGGGACGCGCGCCCCCAGGGGACCTCGACCACTTCCCGAGGATCGGCTTCTCATTCTGAGTCGGCTCTCGACGGCCCGAGGCCAGGAGACGACCCCTGGAGGAGAAACACGCGCGACAGCTCGCCGTCGTGCTTGTTCTGCGTCGCATGGATCTGCCCTCACATCCGACGCTTCGAGAGAACACGACCACATCGCGAAGAATCGCGACCAGAGCCCTGGACCCCACCTCCTCTGCGGCATTTTTCCAGCCAGCTCGCCCTGTGAAGCTCCCGGGGCCGCAAACCAGGCGCAGGCACCCCTCGTCAAGAAATCGCAACGCTCGGATCTCGGGGCACGGCCCCGCAGACCCCCGACGTCCTGCTCTTCTCGCGGCGTGGACCCCCAGAGGCCTATAGACCCCCTCCCCGGGCACCGGCTTCTCATACTGGCCTGTCTGGCTGGCGGCTCCGAGGCCCGGTGATGGCTGCACGCTGCCCCACACCGCCCTGCGCCATTTTCTCAAGACGCGAGGGGGTCTGGGACAGCCGCACACCACAGGCCCTGAGGCCCGACGCCGCGGGAGGAGGACAATACCAAAGTGAGAATCACGACCGGACCGTTGCGCATTCTTCAATCCCGATGGATCTGCGAGGGCCCCGGGGCTCGAAATCCTTCGAAAACGCCCGGCTCGACAGCGAGTAGCAGGTGACGCCAGGCAGCGAGGACGAAGCGAAACGAAAGCGCGCGGTGTCCGTCCGGAGGCCGACCCGCGAGGGCTGGAGCGCAGGGGCCGCGTGGCCCTCACACGATCTTGTACTCCGTGCAGTCCTCCTCCAAAGCGCCCCAGGTTCCTGGAAAATCCAACCATCACAGGGAGCTGCTTCCACAGGGGTGATGTATTTTGTGCAGCCCTCCTCCAAATCGCTCCAAGTTCCTAGAAAATCCAACCATCATAGGGAGCTGCCTTCCACAGGGGTAGGACTTATCCCAGACTTCGGTGTTGGTGATCAAATTTCGGTCACCTTGGCAGTCAGAAGATGACCACCCCCACCGAGATCGGCGGAGGCACACCGCGGATATTAGTGTCGGTGTCCACCTCTAGGCCTGCGCCATGATTCCTGACATCCTGCGCCCGTAGCCACACGCTGAATCACGTCTGCCCACCGGCTTTTTTCAGCGAGCGAAGAACGGTATAAGATAAACTTTTTCGCCGTCGGGGACACCTGCCCCTGGGCGGCTGGAAAGTTTATACCCCTACGGTGCCACCGTCAGGGTATAAACTTCCCAGCCGCCCTGGGGCAGGTGTCCCCGACGGCGAACAAGTTTATTTTATACCGTTCCTCGCCCGTTAATTTTCGGGGCCTGCCCTCTGATCCAGCCGATTCACCACTCTGCCGCGTGCTGTGGCGAAGGGCCGCCCCGACGCGCGGCCCGGGCCTGCTGCGCGAGCGCCGCTGCTGGCCGCTCCTGCGCCGGCGCGGGCGGTGGCGTGCTGGCGACTGCCGCGGCGGCCGTGGCAGCGGCGGGAGTGTGCACCTCCAGACGACCGCCCAGATGGGGTCGGGGCAGGTTTAGGTTGGGCACGTCCCCCTACAGGCGGATGCTGGACGAAAAATAAGAATATATACCCAACACATATTCCAAATATGCGCAAAAGTTGTCAAACAATGGTCCCCCCACTATTTTCGGACTATTTCTGAATGTTCCCCCTGTAGAGGGACAGGCCCGACGTAAGAGTAGATGGGGTCGGAGGTTCGAGCCGCATCGGCGATGCATCGCCGACGCATTGGCGATGCACCCGCGACGCAGGCGATGCATCGGCGACGTCGGCGTGGAGAAAATCGGGCTCCACATCGAGCCGCATCGGCGATGCATCGGCGATGCGCCGAGATCCTTCGACCCCAACTACCCCGACCCCATCTGGGAGGCCTAGAATCTGAAGCCCAGATCTCCGACGATGTGTGAAATTTGTTACATCCTGGCCTCTGGGGCCCGTTCTCTGGCCTAGTGGCCTTCAAACCTCGAAATTGTCCCACGAATCTGAAACGAAATCACGGCGGATTTCTGTTTCGCTTGATTCGGCCTCGGGGCCTTTACTGGGCCTCGGAGCCGTCAACAAAACAACTCAGGATGAAAGACAGGTCCCAGGGAATGAGTCCGAGACCTCTACCCAGACACGGCGTCCTACTTTTTTCAATACAGCGTCCCTGGAAATCCCGACCCTTTCCCCGCGACCGGTTTTTCATCCTGAGTCAGAGTCGTAGTTTGACGGCCCCGAGGCTCGGCGAGGGCCCCCCCCCGCCCCGAGGCCGAAACTGGCCCAACCCCCCCCGTCCTGATTTGCCTACGACGCGAGCTCTCTGGTCGACATGGCGAACAAATCCGGACGTCGGGGTCTGGGAGCGTGGGGCCCATAGGGCGGAACGCCCGCCCCCGGAGAGAGCGGTCGAGAGCGCTGGGGCCGCGGGCCGAGAACACCAGACTGGGGCTGCGAGCGGAAGAACACGACGGACCATTGTGGCATGGCGCCGCACTTTTCTCGAGCCGGGCGTTGTCGACGAATCCGCCGACCCTGTCGGCGTGCGTGAGGGGTCTGTCTGGTCCCGTCGACGGGACGCCTTTTCTGTTTATCCTTCCTTCTCCTCCTCCTCCTCATCCTCCTTATCTCCGCCTCCTCCTCCTCCTCCTTCTCCTCATCCCCCTCCTGGTCGTCGTCGATGTCTTTCAGGGTCGGCGGCACTGGCCGACAGGCCTTCACAATCTCGATCCCCGGGGCCCTCACAGATCGGTCTGCCTCGAAAAATGCAACAGAAAGGTGGCGGACGTCTGGAAGACGGTCCACCGTGGTCCGTTGTCGCCCCCGACCGGGCCCCCACGGGTGTCAAACAGCGCGGCTCGGGGGAGACGAGGCCCGAATCCTGCAGGCCACGCTGCGGCACAGATCTCAGAGGTCTGGTCACGTCCATGGGACGCACAAGGACATACTCGCACTCGATGTCCTCCTTGGAAGCGTTCGTCCGACCCGAGAATACGACCAACCCGTATAATAAAGATGCGCGGTAAGGATGCAACGGCTTTGAAGGCCCATGTGAACGTTTGTTCGAACGAGGTTGGCCAGCGAAAGTCGCTAAGGATGCACCGAAGGGGCAAGGATGCAAGGGCAAGTACCCTTGGGAAGGTTGCTCATCCTTACTATGCGGGTTGACTGTGCAGCATCAGCGTCCTGCAACGAATCGCTGCACGAGCGGTACGGCCAGAAAGCGACCGCCTCAAAGCATAGACTGGAAGACTTCTCAGGGCGCGCGTTACCGATGGGAGGGGCGACTCGTATGTCGGGGTAGGTCCATGCCCTCGCGGACGCCTGGGCACCGCGGCGCGACCCCGTGGATGCGCGACCCCCGTGGGCACACACATCTCGACCTCGGAGGTCTGGGCACACGTCGGAGGTCCTCTGTCGGCGGCGAGCGGGACGGGGGAAGCGAGACGGGGCAGGCCGAGGCCTCTTCAGAAGGCGCCGGGGCTTCTGAGGAACCCTCGCGCCCTTTGAGCAGCTCTCTGTGCCTCCGCGGGAGGCGCAGAAAGCTCCTCGGAAGGCCAAGGGACTTCCGAGATTTCTTAGAATGGCCGCCCTTTTCTCCCTTGCCCCCTGGGCTCGCCGCCGAAACCCAGACATCCGGCTGCTCCAATTTTCTCGATGCGTGGGCCCCGGAGGTCTGGGCCACGCCCACGCGCCCGAGGTCCGGCGAGGGCCTCCTCCCGAGGCCGAAGACGGCCCGAGCCCCCCCGCGCCAAATTTTTTGGGGAGCGTCGGGTCGCTGGGAGCACGTCTTGCCCCAGCGGGCCTGCGAAGGGCGCCGCCCACGGGCAGTTTGGGGGCCGTCCTGGGCCCTCGTGGGGCCGCTTGTGGGGGTTCGAGAAGCGCGTCCGAGTTTAGTTGGAGCGGTGTTCGGAGCTTTGACAATGTTTTCGGGCGCCCGGCAGGCCGACAAAAACGAATGGTAGCAAATCTTGCAAAATCATTGAAACATCAATGTTCTTCGGGTTCGAGCGCGTCTTGGAGGTACTTGTCGGGTCGCCTCAGGGCATCCGACGAGGGCCAAGGCCGACTTGATGCCATTTTGGACCGTCTTGGCCGTGTCTTGGGCCTTCCGCCAGTCGCCTTGGGGTCAGTTTGGGGCGGTCATGGGACCGCCTGTGGGCAGTTTAGAAACTTTCTTGGGCCCCCGTGCGGCTTCTCTGGAGTCGGGAAAGGTTTTCGGTGCTTCGCCTGCGTTCTCGGACGCCTGGCAAACCGTATGAGGACATAGCCGAAAAACATACAAAAACCACAGAACAATCAAGATGTTCAAGGTTTCGAGCGCCTCTTGGAGGTGACATTCGAAGCGCCTTCGAGCATCCAGCAAGGGCCTGGACCGCAAGATGCCATCTTGGACCGTTTGTGTCGTCTCTAAGGCCTTGCGCCAGCCGTCGTAGGGTCAGTTTTGAGTGGTTACGGGAGCTCTTGTGGGCAGTTTGGGGACCACTTCGGGCGCTCATGGGGCTCATTTGGACCGTCTGGGAGCGGTTGCCTGTGCGTTCCCAACGATCTCGGACGCGTGGAAGGCCGAATTAGCGAGTACCCGAAAATCCTACAAAAACGATTGAAACATCTAAGGTTTTGGGGTTCGTACGCCACTTTGAGGTGACATTGGGATGATCCTCGGGCATTTGGCTTGGGGTCAAGGCTGGCTGGATGCCATCCTGGACCGTCTTGGGTGGCTCTTGGGCCTTTCGCCGATCGATTTGGGACTGACACCCGTCTGCGTGCACGCCATGGCAAGGATTTCCGGCCTACCCCCCGCGCCACGGATCCGGGGGGTCCCGTTTCGGGGGGGGGGGGGGGGGGGGTCGCACCCCGCCGGATTAATAAAATGTAGAAAAGGGAATATGCATGTGTATATATATACATATATATATATATGTATATCTCGGAGGTTGGGGGGTGAGATCGCAGTGGAACGGAGACCCCCAACCAGGAAATCGTCTCCTTTCGTTCGTGTCGTGCGTGCGGGCGAGGCGAAGCTGCGTGGGCGCGCGAGAGGAATGAACCCTCCGTTGCTGGGGCGGAGTCGAGACAAATGTTTCTCCTCCGTCCGTCTGGCGGTGGCTTGAGCGGTGTCCAGCGGTGTCCCGTGGTGTCCCGTAGTGTCCGGTGGTGTCCGCCGTTGCTAGGGCGAAGTCAAAACAAATGTTTCTCCTCCGTCCGTCTGGCGGTGGCTTGAGCGGTGTCCCGCGGTGTCCCGTGGTGTCCGCCGTTGCTAGGGCGAAGTCAAGACAAACGATTCTCCTCCGTCCGTCCGGCGGTGGCTTGAGCGGTGTCCAGCGGTGTCCCGTGGTGTCCCGTGGTGTCCCGTTGAGTGAGATGGATAGTGAGATCGATGTAGTGCCCCGAGTTGCCCCGTGGTGTCCCAAAAAATGAGATCGATAGTGAGATCGACAGGTGTCCCGTGTTGTCCCGTCGAATGAGATCGATAGCGAGATCGATCGTGAGGTCGATACTGAGATCGATGTGGTGCCCCGAGGTGTCCCGTGGTGTCCCAAAAAAGTGAGATCGATAGTGAAATCGATAGTGAGATCGACAGGTGTCCCGTGGTGTCCCGTGGTGCCCCGCTGAATGAGATCGATTGTGAGATCTATAGTGAGATCGATTGTGAGATCGATGTGGTGTCCCGAGGTGTCCCGTTTTGTCCCGTGGTGTCCTATGGTGTCCCGTTGAGTGAGATCGATAGTGAGATCGATAGTGAGACCGATAATGAGATCGAGAGGTGTCCCGCGGTGTCGCGTGGTGTCCCCTTGTGGCCCGTGGTGTCCCGTTGAGTGAGATCGATAGTGAGATCGATAATGAGATCGAGAAATGTCCCGTGGTGTCCCGTAGTGTCCCGTGGTGTCCCGTTGAGTGAGATCGATGGTGAGATCGAGTGAAACAGATGTTGGTTTCCCCCCCTCTCCCCCCCACACACAACCTCCTTCCTTATCACCCGAAGGGTGGCCGTATAGGTACATGTTTGTCGATGCATGTATGTAATCATGTGTGTCAACACAGGTACATACATTGATCTCTATATGTACACATACAGGTGCATGTATAACCAAATTATGTATGTGTATACGCAAATGTATATCTATATATATATATATACACATATAGAGCTATGTGTACAAAACGCCATGCGGGGTCTCTCAGGGCCGCCAGCGGAGGCCGCGGGCCCGCGGCCGTGTGCACAGTGCACGCGGCCGCGGATTTTTTGGGGCGGCTGCTGCGCCGGGAGGCCCGCACGCAGCCGCGGGTGTTGGGCGGAGAATCCGCGGGGGGGGGCCCTGGCGGCCCTTCTCCTCCTCCGCGCTCAGTTGCCCCGATATGCAACACGCAACACCGTATTGATACGGAGCTCGACACGTAGACTGACCACGGACGTTTTGAACACGGACGTTTTGAACACGGCACGTGTTACGTTTCAAAACGTGCGTATCAGAGCAGCTAAGCCTCCGCGCCGAAGAACGGAGACCCCCTTCCAGAGAGCCCCAAGATAACTCCTAGACCACCCAAGGGAGCTCCCAGAGGGCCCCAAGATGGCTCCAAGAGACCTCCGGGAAAACAATTCCAAAGCGGTTGTTGTTGCACTGCGTGCTTCTACACTTCCCTGATCAAGGCAACTCGCCTGGCCATCTGTTTCTGGATGGGCCGGTGGGGATAATTTCACGAAGCGTCAAGAATTAGGTGCACCTCCTTCCCAAGATGGCGCGCAGACGATCCGCACCGAAGCACGGATGAGGGGAAGGGCCTACCCTGCAGGTTCGGATGAACAGCACATCGTTCGTCTATGCGCCTTGTCTTCTGCGTCGTCGCTGTGGGCGTCGTCGGGGTCGTGGTGCGTGTTGCTCTGCTCGGGGCTCGTTTGCCTTTTTGCCTTCTGCAGTGACCACCTCGACAATCTTCTTCCCCCCCTCTCTTTCCCCCTCCCGCAGCCGCAGGGCACCCTGTTCGTATGATTATGCTTCCTTTGTGTTTTTGGGGGGGTTTTGTGGGGAAACATGTGCCCAGTGCGCTTGCCGCCCACGGCCTTCTTCGCCCCCGTCTTCACGTCGACCACCGAAGACTGGAGGGTGTTCGCCTTGGTGATCACCTCCTGCGTGGCCGCGACGGCGTCCCGGCAGTCCCCACTGACATCGCCCATGTGGCTGGAGAGGCAGGGCAGGATGCCCTGCTGCAGCACGCTACAGAACTTGCTGATCTCCGCGCTGCACACGAACGGCACAGACTTGCCCACGTCCTGCCTCAAAGGACCAAAACGCGGAGGTCCACGCGGGCTTCTTGGATCGCTGGCCCCCCCCCCTTCTTGGCGCGCGGAGGGTGCCAGGAGCGGCGCCCGAGGCGCCGCCAGGGGATTCCAGCGCCGATCCAAGAAATCCGCGCGGAGCTCCGACAGTGCATGTTCATGATTCGTTTCTTGGGTGCCTGCAGCCCTGTGACACGTCCTCGCGGTGCTCGCCCAGGCAGTGCACCTGCGAGCGGGCAGAGCTGCAGTGCTTGACAAGGTCCGCGTGGCACGACGCCGGTGCCCTCTTTGCACTGTTCGCGCCCTTGTGGATGAGCGGCAGCATGTCGTCCTGGAAGCTCCCCGTCAGGTGCTGGAGCATGTCCATGATCAGCGGGTCAGGCGCTGCGAACGGGCCCTCCGACATGCCCGGCAGCCCCATCGGACCAGGGCTCCCTGGCTCCTCCATGATAACCAGGGGTCCTGGGAACAGGTCGTGGAACAGATCCACGCCCATGCCCGCCTTCTGCGCCCCAGGCGGTGGGCCCATCTGGAAGGGAAGCCCGGGCGGCGGGCCCGTCCTGGAGGGAGGAAGACGGTGATCATGACCAAGACTGATCGCGGACCCGACGAGGTCAATCTTGGTCACCGTCCAGAGTAGTCACCGTGCATTCCCGGACCAACCTCATACATCGGCGAAGGACGGCATACCTATGGTCCAACGTTGCAAAATACAGGCAACATCGCAACTAATCACGGCCAGAGCCCAGGGCCGCGTCGTCTCTCGAGCCGAATCGAGTGAAGGTACTGGGTCCCGAAATCGGGCGAAACCGCCAGTTGCGCAACAAAGGTGCTACGCCAAGATCTCAGCGATGGACCACGACCAAGACCGGCCTCGACGAGCTCCCGCGACGCCCGGGGTCATGGCCATCGGGCTTCTGGCCCCTCGCCGTCCGGAGGCCAGGCGGCGGGCCCATCTGGAAGCCCGGAGGCAGGCCCCTGTGGGGCCCGGGCGGCGGGCCCATCCCGGGGCCCGGCGGCGGGCCCATCTCGAGCATCTGCGGGACGATGTCCCTCGCGATCTGCTCCATCAGCCCGGGCGGCATGCCCCCCGGGGGCCCCCCGACCTCCTCGAACTCGATCTGCAGGGGCCCGAGCTGCATGACCTCGGAGCTCCCCGGACGCAGGACGTGGAGAGGGAGGAGGAGGAGGAGGAGGAGGAGGAGGAGGAGGAGGATGAGGAGGAGGAGGAGGAGGAGGGGAGGAGGAGGAGGAGGAGAGGAGGGGAGGAGGGAGGGAGAGGAGGAGGGAGAGGAGGAGGGAGAGGAGAAGGAGGAGGGAGAGGAGAAGGAGGAGGAGGAGGAGGAGGAGGAGGAGGAGGAGGAGGGAGGGACGCGTGGACCGTTTCTTCAAAACGAGGACCCAAAACACCACAGGATGGTTGGGAACTGCACTGGACCGGCGCGCAGGCTGAGTTAGCTTACGTGCCGCGGGACAAACACCCGAGATCGCCTTGAGCACTCCCTCTTCAGTCTTGACACGGCCAGGGGACAGTGCCCTGGTCGCGCCCCACCGCCGCGCCAAACGCTGCAAGGATCGGATGCCGCAGAGCCCACCGGCAGAGACCCCTTCATCAATGTTGCTGCCGCGCACCCTCCTCCGCGAGGCTGCTCAACGCCAATGTCAAAGAGGGGCGGGTCGGGTGGGGTGCCCTGACACGCGGGCAGTCGTGCCACGCATGCGATGTGTGGTGATAGTGGTGATGACGGTCGATGGGTGGTACGTGTGGTTCGATTTGAACTTCCATGCGAGATTTCTCGCAGCGTTGAACCCCAAATGCCTGGTTTTGTCTTCCCTGGGACTGGCACTCCATTCGTGAATCATTTTTCGACGGTCCCATAGTCCGGCAAAAGGCCCCGAACGACCGAGAACTCTCAAAAACCAGCCGTCGCCATCTTTCCATGCCCCTGGGGAAACCCAAAGGTACCGATACCGATGCTCTCAAGGAGGGTGCCCCGAACGAGGCGCGCGTTTTAGCACCTCCAGGGGGGGCCGCCAGGACGGACTGCCCTCGCCCGTTCGCGTCCACATCGTCGCAGACTGCTCACTTCGCGGCTGGGGCTGACTCCTTGCTGCTTTCTGGGCAGATCGTGAGGCTCTCCCGAGCGAGGCGTTTGTTGCAGCACTCCCCGGGGTAGCCGCCGGAGGGGTGTGACTCTCGCCCGTTCGCGGCCAAAAGGTGGAGACGGCTCGCGCGGTTTGCTCGTTCCGTGGCTGGGACCCCCTTCCCTTCACAGCAGGTCGCGAGGAAGTCCCGTGCGCGGCGATTGTCTCGTGGCTGGCCCGTGCTAAGTTCGATGTATGGCGAAGGACGGCCGCCAGGACGGATGGGGGAGGACGGGGAGGGAAGGAGGACGCAGGACGAGCAAACAGGAGGGAGGAAGAGAAGGGAGGGGGTACGACAAGGAGGAGGAGGAGGCAGGAGAAGGGATGGAACCTGCTCACCGCCCGTTCGTCTGTGGATTGTCGTCGTCGCAGTCCCTCATAATAGCCGCAACTTCCTTCGTCGTCGCACTCGTTGCCCATTCGGACTCGCGTTCGCACCAATATGCTCACGGCCACACACTTACAATGGTACATGTCAGGCAAGGATCTGCACATGTGGGGACATCCGCGCATAATGATTGCACACCAGGCGTTTCGCCAAATTTCGAGCCTTGGGTTTCTCTCAGATCGATCCTGCTCGGAACATGCAGCAAACAGCTGGGTCTGGTGTGCTCCAGTCGCGTTTGCTCGCCATGTTGCCGCAACGTCGCCATGTTTGGCGACGTCGGATCTCGAGGCGTTTCTTTTTCAGCGGGCGGGGCCCCCAAAGCCCCAGACCGCAAGATGTCGTCGTGTCCGCGTGGACCTCGCGTCGCAAGGGTCGCCCCGAGCGGCGCCGGTGCCCACAACCAAGGCTCGGCCAACTACCGCGGTTCGCCATGGGGGCAGCGCGTCCCGAGGGAAACGGGCCCCACGGCTTTTCGCCGTTCTCGGGCACCCCAGGGCCCTCCACGGGCGCGGGGGTTGTCAGCAAACGGCTCAGGATGCACAGCTCGTCTAAGGGGAAGGCACCGGGGGCCAAGGCGCGCCCCCCCGCAGGACACGATCTCCCCACGTGGCTCTAAGGAGGAGGAGGAGGAGGAGGAGGAGGAGGAGGAGGAGGAGGAGGAGGAGGAGGGGAGGAGGAGGAAGAGGAGGAGGAAGAGGAAGGGAGGAGGAGGGAGGAAGGAGGGGGGGAGGAGGAGGAGGAGGAGGAGGGGAGGAGGAGAGGAGGAGAGGAGGAGGAGGAGGAGGAGGAGGGAGGAGGGGGGAGAGGAGGAGGAGGAGGAGGAGGAGGAGGAGGAGGAGGAGGAGGAGGAGGAAGGAGGAGGAGGAGGAGGAGGAGGAGGAGGAGGAGGAGGAGGAGGAGGAGGAGCGGAGGAGAGGAGGAGGGGAGGAGGAGGAGGGGGAGGAGGAGGAGGAGGAGGAGGAGGGAGGGGAGGAGGAAGGAGGAGGAGGGGAGGAAGGAGGAGGAGGAGGAGGGAGGAGGGGGGGGGGGAGGAGGTGGGAGGAGGAGGAGGAGGAGGAGGAGAGGAGGGGAGGAGGAGGAGGAGGAGGAGGAGGAGCAACAGCAGCAGAAGGAGGAGGAGGAAGAGGAGGAGGAGGAGGAGGAGGAGGAGGAAGAGGAGGAGGAGGAGGGAGAGGAGGAGGAAGAGGAGGAGGAGGAGGAGGAGGAGGAGCAGGAGGGGGGAGGAGGGAGAAGGATCTTGGATTGCGCTTTGATTCGCCGAGGAGACGGTCAGCTTGGTGCGGCACTCACTAGCTGCTGGCAGAAACACGCGGTATCTAGCACCACCGGCACCAACGTTTGGTAAATCCCCCCGCCCCCGACCCCTAACCCGTACCACCCCCCTATCGTCGGAAGGCGCTCAAGGCGCATCGCAACGCAACAGGAGTAGGGAAAAGGCAAGAGGAGGCTGATCGAAGAGGGAGGCAGGTGAGATAGTCTGCAAAAGGCCGAAAAAGGCAGCTAAGCGGGCGAGTGCGATGCATGGGGCCAGCGGGGGTGCACGATTTTGCACGCTCGACCTGTGTCCTATGCCTGCCTCATCGCCGCAGTGCGAACTTCGTCCCCGCCAACACACCTATATTCAGGGGAAATGGGGAAGGTGAGACTGCCTGGCTCGTCCGATGCGCGGGCAGGGCCTGCGCGCGTGTCTGACCGCCCCGAGGGAGGTTCGCCGTGCCTGGTACGGCGCCCGAAACCTCTCGAACTGTGGCGGCAGCTAGAGATCAAACGAAAGGAGAAGCACCAAGAGGCAAGAGGAGGCCAACGAAAAGGCAGCTGAGTGGAGGCCAGGTGCGAGGCAGGGGCCAGCGGGAGTGAACGATTTTCGCACGCTCGACCAGTGGCCAGTGCCTGCTTCAACGCCGCAGTAGAACCTCGTCCCCGTTAACATACCAATCCCGCCCCCGGTCCCGACCCTAGTAAGCTGAAAGCTCGGAAGGGGTGGGCAAATTGAGATGGCCTGGCGAGCCCGATTCGCGGGCGTGGGCCGGCGCGCGTGTCTGCCCGCCCGGCCCGAGAGAGGTTCGCCGTGCGAGGTACGGCGTCCGAGACCTCTCGAACTAGGGCGGCAGCTGGAGACAGAACGGAGAGAGAAGCGGCGTGATCGTAATCGAGGCAAAGAAGGCAGCAACAGCATGGTCCTGAGTCATCATGCCATAGGTCCCCCGGCGTTGCATGCCACCAGGGAGCAGGCAGACAGAGAGAGGTGGCTGAAAGAGGCGGCACAGAAGGCGACGGCAACTTGCTCTTCTGCACCTCCGCTTCTCCGCACAAAACTGAACAACAATCCCCAACATGTCATGCTAAATGACAAGCAGCAACTTATCCAAACAAGCCTCTGCCAAAGTTAAGGTCCAGGGTCCACGGGGCTACTTCGCGCAAGCGAGCCTGCCTCTCTTCCTGGAGTTTAGCAGCTCTTCTGTTACGTGTTTGCGCACGGTTCTGCGCAATGCGCTCCAAGACTTCAGGCGCTAGCGGCACAGGGACGGGCGAGAGGGGGGAGGGAGGAGGGAGGAGGGAGGAGAAAGAGGAGAAGGAGGAGATAGGAGGAGGAGGAGGAGGAGGAGGAGGAGGAGGAGGAGGAGTGGAGGGAGAGGAGGAGGGGGAGGAGGAGAGAGGAGGAGGAGGAGGAGAGGGAGGAAGAGAGAGGAGGAGGAGGAGGAGGAGGAGGAGGAGGAGGAGGAGGAGGGAGGGAGGAGGAGGAGGAGGGGAGGAGGAGGAAGGAGGGAGGAGGCGGAGGGAGGAGGGGAGGAGGGAGGAGGAGGAGGGAGGAGGAGGAGAGAAAGGAGGAGGAGGAGGAGGAGGAGGAGGAGGAGGAGGAGGAGGGGTTGGAGGGAAGGACGGACAACTCGGCATTGCGTGTCGTCTCATCGTGTGACCTGCTGATCGCCGAGCTCTTCAAGCTCGGCCAAAACAAAAACTCGCACGATCGTAATCCCTGGGATTCGTGATCGAAGACTTCGCTCGCCAAGGAAAACGCACTTTGCCCTATCGCTGCTCTGGGCTGGGGGTGATGTCCCTCGGGCCTGCGTGCCCGAACCTCCGACACTGCATGTGTCAGGCTGGGTCTGCAAGGCCCCCCCCCCTGCCCTGAAGTCGCAACCCTGCGCGTGCAAGAGTCGCCCCCCCTCCACCTCCCCCTTTCCACCCCGCAAAGCCGTGGAAGAGGTCGAGAGAGGTAGACTGAGGGAGGAAGCAGGTGGGTGGGGAGGGCGTTCGGGCGCCTCCTGCTGCACAACACGCCGTGCATCGGCAAACGACCTCGAAGAGGCAAGTCGCAACAAAACAAAGACTCTGGGAACAGGCGTGCCTGGTACTGAAAGCCAATTTATTCGAGCAGCGAACAGGCACGCGGGAAAGCGAGGAGCCCAGGACGCCCAAGGGTAAAAACGCGCCTCCCCAAAACGGGGCACCCCAGGACGCGATCTGATCGCTCGAGGGGATCCGTCGGGCACTATCCTGGCGAGAAGCCTCGATACATGATAGACTCTCCAGAGACTGCAGTACGAAGTCGATGCTAGCGCCCTCGTACGTGGAGCGAAAGAAGCCAGAGATCGTATCAATCGTCATCGTGTAATTGAGGCCGTACACAAAAAGAATGCTCAAACGGAAGTCGATCATGAGAGGGCTCATGGAAACATTGAGACCGCAACGAGTAAAAACTTAATCATGGGCTGTCGTCAAACCGAGCCAATCGATGAGTCATCGTCCGTCTGTGCGCGCTCCTTTTCCCATGTCTTGGTATTGTTCCAATCGCGGATGTGTGTCCCCTTCCAAAGTAGGCATCTCCGTGAAAGAACTCCCTAACATCAGATCAATGATGAACGTTGAGATTATTTGCTCCGAATTCGCTCGTGAAGTGCCGCCAGCCTGGGCTCACAACTCACTTCTTGCGGCCGCCTTCCTTGCCCTCCTGCCTGGGTTTCACCTTGTCCAGCAGCTTCTGTGCCAGAGCTTCGAGGTGCCCCTGCGGGGCTGCCCCCCACTTCGCCTTGCCCCCCAGGGAGCTCAGCACATGAGTTATGGCGCTCTCTATCTCGAGCTTGCTGTACGCAATCTCCTCCTGACCCTCTGCAGAGGAGGAGGAGGAGGAGGAGGAGGAGGAGGAGGAGGGAGAAGGAGGAGGAGGAGGAGGAGGGAGAAGGAGGAGGAGGAGCTGGGCGGGGCGACGGCGGAGGGAACGGGCCTTCTAGTCATCGGACGGGGGGGCCCTGGGCCCCCGCAGAGGCCGAAGGCTGCCGAGCACAGTGGAAGCCCGACCGCAAGAAGCCTTCCACAGGAAACCCAGCCCTGAGACCCCAGGACGTCGATCAACTTTCGGCTACACGCAGGAGTGGCCCTGGGCAAGAGTGACCCTTGGTGCGCGGCTTTTTAGGGGGCCGCGGGGCACCAAACCTGGGCGCGCAAGCCGCTGCTCCTGCTTCGTTATCAGCCATCTGGGGGCCCATCTGTGCCCGCACCAAAGGTCACTCCGGCGAAAGGTCACTCTTACGTCCAGTCGAAACTTTTGGTGTGGGAGCGTCACGCTCTCCATGGCAAAACCAGCGAAACCCAAGAAGCCCAGGGCACCCTGGAGGCAAGCAGGGTGTTTCCTGCCATGGGCCTCCACTGTAAGCTCACGTTCGTGACCTCTTCAAGACGCGAGGTGGTCCCTCACCCACGCCCTGGGAGCCTTGGCGTTGCAATTTCTTGTCGGGCATTTTCGCCCAGACTGGGGGCTGAAGAGCTTTCTCTTAACCAGGTCCGGTTACTGCTTGCATGCAGGGTGGGGCTTTCTGGCGAGCCCCTAGTCGGCAGTTGCTTGCACGCGTGGAGGATGCGGGGCAAAAGGGGCAAGATGTCATGTAAGTAAACTTGCCAGAATCTCAGTCAAGACTCCCTGGAGGACATTCAAGGATCGATCTAGCCCGAGAGATGACGCAGAAAGATAAGACTTGTTTGGCTCGGGGCAGAGATGTGCCACGATGATCTATGTTTGAAGAGTCCGATCTCAAGGAAGGGGTGCTGGTGCGAGGGGGACGGCCTTATAAGAAGGCGGATGGCTTCTGAAGAGGCGGGAGTCTTCTAAGAAGGCAGTGCTTGTTTAACCAGTTCACGCTGGATGATTTCAGTTTGTTTCGCCAGTGTGGTCAGCGGGGAGGCCCCCGAACAGTGCTATACGTATTATGTGTCCCTGCATTCTGGGGCACTGATGTAGCTGAGGTGCGAGCAGGAAGCGCTCACTTGCCTCTTGGCGTGCCTGGAGCACGTGCAGCCAGCGCTTCACTTAACCTGGGCCTCGAACAGTGAGCAAGAATGAGCCGTCGAATACATGACGGGCTGGTGTAAGACCACGCCTCCGCAAGTTGCTCTCAATCGTGCAGCAAACACTTGCCCGGTGGTGGCAATGTATGAGTGCCTCGTCGTGCTCTGGACCGCAAGGAAAGCATCAACACAGGCAGCGCGCTTCACACAGGCAGACATGTTGTCAAACATCTGGGTGGGGCGAAGGGGAACCAGTGCGGACTCACAGGGCCTGGAACAAAATGAACCTGTCGCGACAATTTCGCAAAGAGAAAAACAAGCAAAAGGGGCGTTTGCAAAAACGGGAGGCCTGTCAGAAGCCATCCTGGCCTTCCGGAAAGCTTTTTGCCCGAGAAGCTTCCGAGAAGACCTCCAAGGCGGAGTCATCAGCACCGGTGCTGCACCAAGACGACGAATCTCAATGGCAACCCCTTCCAAAGACCCTCGACGTCTCGATTTTGTTCACAACGTGGGCCCCCCAAGGCCAGGATTCCTCAGGACTTGCAGTTCATCCTGACCCCATCAGGACTTGCTGTTCTCGACTACTGCTCATCCTGAGGATTTTGCTGTTCAAAACGTGCCGCAAGACTTGCTGTTCAGGACTCGCCTCATACTTTGCACACAACGCGGACCCCCTCAAGACATGGTCTTCATCCTGACTCGTTTTTGTTACCGTCCTTGTGCCTGGCGAAGACCCCTGGAAACCGAAGATTGCCTTCAACCTTCCCTGAAATTCGACGTCGCGAAAAAACTGCAAAAATCATAGAACATCACATCCCAAACCCTGGATCCCGCCTTTCTGCTGTACACTTCGAGCCAGATCGATTTGTGATAGTCCCAGGGCCCGAAGACTGGCGAACACGCCCGCTCAGAAAAACAACAAAACAAAAGACGCCTGGATCGCGGAGGCCGACAAGCGCCTCGAACATGTCGTTGCGATGTTGTCACGAAGCGATCGGCTCTGAGCCGAGCGCGCTGGCAGCCAGAAGCCCGTCTCGACTCTTCCGCCGCCCGAGGACGGGGAGACCTCGTGCTTGCTAGGCTGGCCGCGCAGCGCCGGCGGCGGGCCCTGATGGGGGTGGGGGAAGATAGGAACGTGGGCTACCCGTCGGTCGGAAGACGGGGGTGGAAACATGAAGCAGGAAGGCGTTGAAAGCAGATTGGGTCTCAGCCCAACTCCCCTGAAGAGGCAAGAGGGACAACTGCTGGACCCTTGCAGTAGGAAGGCGCCCAAAGTGGCCTGGGATCTGGATCTCCAGAAACACCTGCTTTCAAGGACGGGCGCGCAGCCAACTTCGCGCATCGCGCCACGCGGCGCGCGATTGTCTCCGCGCCCTCTGGCCCTTGCGCGTCCCCCCTGGAGAAGGACAGCTCTCCAGTATAGGCCGCGACGCGCGACTGTCTTCGCGCACGCGCGGGTGACCCAGGAAGCCCTGGGGGACGAGCACGGGCAGGAGGAGGGCGAGGTGGCCCACGCCTCCGACGGCCCGAACTGCCTTCTCCTATGTACTCCTCCTCCTCCTCCTCCTCACCTTCCTGCTCCTCCTCCTCCTCTTCCTCCTTCTCCTCATCATCATCTTCCTCCTTTTTCTTTTCCTCCTCCTCGTGGGGTGGCGACAGATGGGGGGGGGGAGAGTGGTGCCCCTTTCGGGCCCCTTGTCGGGCCCTATCGGCACCCACTTGGGCCCGCCAGGGGCCATATAGGGCCACTCTTCTGCAGCCCTGGCTGCCCCCCCTTCCCCATCCCCATTAATCGCACCCCCATTACGCGTCCTCCGACTCGACCACGCCCCCGCGGGGCCCGCTATTCTCCTCCAGCGGCATGTGCGCGGCCCAGGGGGGGGCGCCGGGGACGCATTGAAATAAGAAGAGGCGCCATGAAATCCGGGGCGATACCATGGTCCCCGCCATGACATGCCGGGAAAGAGGAGAGGGGGGCACGACGCGTTCGTTGGCTCGGGGCCCCGGAAGACGGCGGCCGACGACCGACGACGGCCGGCCCGCTGCTTCGGCGGCGCTGGCGGCGTTGGCGGCGGCGGCGACGACAATGACGACGACGGCGGCGGCGGCGACGACGACGACGACGCGACGACGACGCCGACGCCGGCGGCGACGACGATGACGACGACGACGACGGCAGCGGCGGTGGTGACGACGACGACGACGACGACGACGACGACCGACGACCGACGGCGGACGGCGCGGCGCCTGCGGCGGCCCCTGCTGCGGGGGCTGCTGCGCCGCGCAGAGGGCCGCCAGCACGGCTCCGCAGCGGAGCAGCGGCGGCGCCAGCAGCCCCATGCCACCCAGCGACGGGGGGTCCTGGGACGCACGAGGACATGCTCCGAATCCGTTATTGATCATCCCCAGGGTCAGGTCTTTTAAGGCGCCTTTTTGTAACTGGCGGGGTCCGGTTTACTAGGGCGCTTTGTTTGGATTGGAACTCAGGGGGTCTGGTTTATTCAGGCGCCCCGTCGAAGAGGGGGGTCCGCAATGTTGGGTCGCATTGGGGGGGGTCAAATTTTTTAGGGGGGGATCGGTGTACAAGGGACTTGGATGACTGGTGCTATGTGTCCTCCTCGACGGCGTGCGCCCGACCCGAACGCCACCCCTGGGGGGGCGCCGATGTCCTGCAATTGTTCGGGAGCTTCCCAACCCAAACCCCCCTCGAGTCACGATGGAATCACGGCGGCAAAGTTCCGCATGTTCAGCCCCTGGGGACCCTGGCCGGGCCTCGGAGTCGTCAAGTAACGATTCAGGATGAAAGGTCGGGTCCCGGGGCAAGGGTCGAGACCTCAAGGTGTTGCCGTGATGAAAAAAGTCATGATGTCGGGGCTATGGGAAGGGGGGTCGGAGTAAGATGAGGGCGTTGGATAAGGAACACTTGGATCAGCAATCAAGGGTCTGGAAACCCGAGGTTTGGCCATGGATATCACCGCCGCCCTCATCAAAGAAGGATCCCCCCAGGGTGTGAAACCTCCTGGGCACATTCCTTAGCGAACGCCGCCACCGAAGCTGGGGTCGGAGGATCGCGCCGCATCGGCGATACATCGGCAACATCAGCGTAAAAAAAATCATGCTCCGCATCGAGCCGCACCGCCAATGCATCGGCGATGTGGCACGATCCTCCAACCCCATATAATTCGACCCCGTCTGGGGATCCTAGAGTTTGGGAGCGGCTGAAAGATGCGGCTGCAGCCCCAGACATCTCCAGATCTCCGACGATGTCTTGTTTTCAATGTCGGCGGTTGTCTTCGTTGTTGGCAGCCAGGTCACGTTGTCGGGCCCTGGGGCCATCCAAAAAGATGCAAGCGACAAACTACCTCCAGGGAAGGGAACGGGAGCTTTGGGGCCTCGGAATGAACAAACTGACCCTCCTCCCGATCCTCCTCCTGATCATCCCCCTGATCCTTCTGATCCCCTTGATCCCCCTCAAACTTTCCTTCGCCTCCAGATCTGACGCCAGCCTGTATAAAAGGCTTTTGGCGGTTTCAGCGCTTCATCTCTGCTCATCTTTTCGTGCTTCCGCTCGCTGTCTTCCCCTCACCACCACCGATGAACCTTGTGTTGTGCTCATTGCGCCCTACTGTTCCTCGTACTGCGTCCTCCCCGCCCTTTCACACTGATACTCTTCATCTGCTTCTCTCAACCTCCCTCATCACCTCCGCTCTCCCCCAATTTTTCCTCGCCGCTCCACCTCGCCAGCGTCGCTCTCGGTTCCGCATCATCCTCATCCACCAGCATTCCTCCTGCTCATCACCGCGCCATCCTCATCCTCATCCTCATCCCCATCCCCATCCCCAATTCAAATCCTCATTCTCCTCCTCAGCATCATCACCATCATCCTGCTCATCACAATCACCAGCATCATCATCAACATCATAATCATCATCATCGTCATCCCCCTCCTCATCATCATGATCATTATCATCCGCATGATCGTCATGGGCATCCTTATCATCGAGAGAGCGTGTTCCACCGCCGCTTTACTGTGGAAAATTCCCCCCCCCCTTCCTCCGGAACCCGAGGGTCCCACCCCTCTCCGAACCCCCTCCCTGCTCGAACCCCCCCCTGCCCCCCGGCAAAACCTCCCCCTTCCCCCCCTCCCCCCCCATCCGGAAAACCGGGGGGGTCACTACCCCCCACCCGAACCCCCCCCCCCCTCCCCCCCTCCGAAAACCAGGGGGGTCACTACCGGTTCGAACCCCCCCCCCCCTCGAAAACCGGGGGGGGGGTTACACTAACCGGTTCGAACCCCTCCCCCCCCCTCCCCCGCTCACCGCCAGCAAACAACTCTGGGTCCCTACCACCGTCCGCACCACATCCCCCACTGCTGTCCCCAGCACCACAATCCTCACCACCACTGTCCCCACTGTTCCCATCACCGTCGCCACTGTCCTCACCAGTGCCCCCACCACTGTCGCACTGTCCCCACTGTCCCCACCACTGTTCCCACAACGGATCCACTCTCCCCACTTTCTCCACGGCCTCAACCACTGTCCCCCTGTCCCCACTGTCCCACTGTCCCCGCCGCTGTCCCTCTGAGCTGTCCCACTGTTCCCACCACTGTCCCCACTGTCCCCACCACTGTCCCTACTGTACCTCTGGCCCATTATCCCACCGCCGTCCTCGCCACCGCCCTCACCACTGTCTCCACCACCACTGTACCCTCCACTGTCCCACTGTTTCCACCACATTCCCACTGTCCCCACACCACTGTCCCCACCACCACCGTTCCCACCACTGTCCCACTGTCCCCACTGTTCCCACCATTGTCCCGGCTGTCCCCACCAGTGCCCTCACCAGTGTCTCAGTCCCCACTCTCCCCACCATTGCCCCACCACGGTCCCGCCCTTTCCACTTTCCCCACGGACCCCACCACTGTCCCACTGTCCCCACTGTTCCCACCACTGTCCCACTGTCCCCGCCGCTGTCCCACTGTGCTGTCCCACCGCCCCCACTGTCCCCATCACTGTCCCACTGTCCCCACTGTCCCCACCACATTCCCCATTGTACCACTGTCCCACCACTGTCCTCACCACCTCCTTCACCACTGTCCCCACCACTACCGTCCCTACCACTGTCCCACTGTGCCCACCACTGTCCCGCTGTCCCCTCACCACTGTCCCCACCAACACCGTCCCCACCACTGTCCGCACCACTGTCCCACTGTCCCCGCACCACTGTCCCCACCACCACCGTTCCCACCACTGTCCCAGCATCCCCAACATTGTCCAACAGTCCCGAGGAGCGGGCATCGTTTGCCGGCGGCGAGGGCGAGGGGGGGTTCGAACGGTAATGACCCCCCCCCCGGTTTTCGAGGGGGGTGGGGTTCTTCGAACCGGTAGTGACCCTCCCCGGTTTTCGAGGGGGGGGAGGGGTTCGAACGGGTAGTGACCCCCCCCTTCATGATGGACTGGGGGGGGGGGTCGAACCGGTAGTGACCCCCCCCCCCGTTTTTCGAGGGGGGGGGAGGGGACGGATTAGGAACCCCCCCCATCGGTTTTCCGCCAGCAGCGGTAGAACACGCTCTTTCTGATCATCAGCATCATCATCGTCATCCTCATCGTCATCGCCATCATCAACAAGATCAGCATCATCAGCAGCAGCATCATCCTCATTATCCTCATCATCATCATCATCATCATCAGCATCATCATCATCATCATCATCATCATCATCATTATTATCATCATCATCATCATCATCATCATCATCATCACCATCTTCATCATCATCATCAACATCAACATCAACATCATCATCATCGTCATCATAGGCATCACCGTCAGCATCACCAGCATCAACAGCATCATCACCATCATCATCAGTATCGGCATCACCATCGTTATCACCAGCATCATTACCATCACCATCACCATCGCCATCACCATCATCACCACCTTCAGTATCAACATTACCAACATATTCATCATCATGATGATGATCATCATCATCACTATCATCATGATCAGCATCATCATCACCGTCATCATCATCATCAGCAGCATCATCATCATCAGCAGCAGCATCATAATCACCACCATCAGCAGCGCCATCATCACCACCATCATCATCACCATCATCATCGCCAGCATCATCATCATCAGCAGCATCAGCTTCATCATCATCTTCATCTTCATCATCACCATCATTCACCATCCTCTCTCTTCATCCTTCTCCTCCGCATTGTCCCTCCTCTTCCTCATTGTCCTCTTTATCGTCCCATTGTTTGCTCATCCAACCTCATCCTGTTCCTCAAAGATTCGCTCCGCCTTCTGATGCTGATGCTCCTCCTTCTGTTCCTCTTTTCCTCCGCCTGGAGAAGTACACGAGGACGCGGACTCACGAACGATCTGGACGTTCGCGAGTACGCAAGGGAGGAAATGGTCTGGACGAACGGACGGTCTGGATCTCCGCGTGCGCCACGGTCCTCCAGACCTCCATGGAGGACCGTTTCCTTCTCCCCCATCTTGGACTCTCCACTCCTCGCGAAGCCCCCCCCGCGACACCCCAAAGACGCCCACGAAATGGCCACAACTTCTTCTCGTCGATCCTCGACCTTCACTTCTCATCGACCCTCGATTCCCAGGAGGCGCTGGTGATCCCCTGGTGGTGACCCCTTTAATTGGCGGCGCCGCCAAGGGGATGGCGCGACGGGGGCGGCCACAGGGGGGACGCGCTTTTCAGAAGGCCGAGCCTTCTTGGGAGGCCCCAGATGCTTCTACGCAGGCCTCTTGGCAACAGTGCCTCCTCCTCCTCCTCCTCCTCCTCCTCCTCCTCGTCCTCCCCCTTCTCCTCCTCGTCCTCCTCCTCCTCCTCCTCCTCCTCCTCCTCCTCCCTCTTCCTCCTCCTCCCTCCTCCTCCTCCTCCTCTCCTCCTCCTCCTCCTCCTCCTCCCCTCCTCCTCCTCCCCCCCCTCCTCCTCCCCCAAGAAGACCCCCCCCCCCCCCTGCATCCTTCTAGACGCGCCTGCTCGGACGCCCACCCCCCTGGCGCGACCCCCTTGCGGGCGCCGCCGACCGTGGCACTGCCCGGCCTCCCCTGATGGGGCAACGAGGGGGGAGGGGGCCGGCATAGGGAGGGGACATCGACCTGGAATCGGGGCTTTCGGGGAGGGGGGGGACGGGCCGCGGGGAGGCGGAGCCCAAGCGCGCCAGACGCTATCATCGCATCGCGTTCGGCGATCGGAGGGCCCCCCAATGGCGAGGGGCGTCGACCTGGACTCGGCGATATGTCGCCGATAGATCGGCGATGGGCCCCCGCTAGCAAATCTGCACGGTCCTGGGCGGGGTGGGGCTCTCGGACCCCATCGGCGGCCCATGGGCGATCGGGGGTCGATGCATCCCCCCCCCCTTCCCAGATACGCGACGTCCTGCTTTTTCAATATGGGGTCCCTGGAAATCCCGACCCTTTCCCCGTGACGGGCTTTTTATCGTGAGTCGTTTCTAGACGGTCCCGAGGCCAGGCGAGGCCCCCCGAGGCCACAAATGGCCAAAGACCTCTCGTTCGATTTTTTCCACGACGCGATCATGTCTGGGCCGAGCCAATCCCTTATCGTTGCCCCTGACCCCCCTCCCTCCGACGAGGGGCTCCTGGTCTTCTCGCCGCGCCGTCCGGCGCGGGCGGGCCTACGGTGGCCTCGGTCGATAATGTGCAGGGGCCGCCGCGAGCCAGAGGGGACCGAGAGGGGGCACGGCTTATGCTGTTCCAGCCTTCTTCAGACTTGATCACAAGAAAGAACTTCGAGCACCAAAAAGAATACCGAAACTCGAAGGTATGCACGTGTCGGGCCCTGGGAGGCACTCGTCCGACACTGTTTCGCCACTTCTCCGGGGGCTCAGTTTCTGGGCTGTGGTCCTTAGGTTTGATGGGAGCAACATAAGGCACGTGCCCTTCGGAGGAGCCAGGCGAGGCAACCCCAGATCGCAGAAGCCTGCGACAGCAAGATCTCTGCTCGCCTGCACGCAGGGAGAGCACCCTGGGCAAATAATGAACTCTGGTGCGCGGATTCCTGGGGGCCGCATGGGGGCCCCAACGCACGCGCGCAAGACGCTGCTGTCGCATCGCGGTCGGCGATCGGGGTACCCCAGTGGGCCCGCACCAAAGGTCACTCCGGCGAAGGGTCACTCTAACGTTTAGGTCGGGCATGTCCCCCTACAGGTGGATTTGGGACAAACATGTAACATACCTGATTGATACCCAAAAACACTCAAACCTGCTTCAAAATATCGTCCTTATATATTTTTTGGTTCCTTTCGAATGCTCCTCCTGTGGAGGGACAGGCCCGACTTTGTCTTACGTGCAGCCGATGTCTTCAGACGCCTGGCCCTCTCCCTCGATGCCAGCCTCTGGGGCCCGTTGGCGGGCCTCTGCAGGCCATCCAAGGCTGGGGTCGAAAGGAAAAGCTGCCCCCGTCGGGCGCGGCCCCACCGACCCCTGGCAGACCATCCCCTTCCGTGGCGTCGTTCTCGCTTCTCCAACCACTTCCCGGGGGCGGATGTTTCGTCCCGGATTGCTTTTTGTTCGTGGCCACTGGGCCCCCCCGAGGGACCCCAGAGGCAGAAAACAACAACAACAGCAACAACATCAACAACAACACCAACAACAACAACACCAACAACAACAACGACAACAACAACAACGACAACAACAACAACCACAACAACAACAGCAACAACATCAACAACAGCAACAACAACAACAATAACAACAACAATTACTAGCACGTGGGGACACTCTGTTCTCACCAGTGCCAGGGTTTTCATAGGAGGCGGGCAATACCCCCACTTTGTGGGGGGGCCGGTTCAAGCTCTACCACATTTCCAAACGACTCTTCGCCACCACCCACACCCAGCTTCCCGCCCTATGACGTTCGGACACCTCACTTCGTGGCCTGCGGACGACCTTGGCTACTACACTGGCGCATGGGTACAATGACTTGTTGTGGTAACATTTTCTGTAAGCTAGCTTAGTATACGACTTTTCCCCCTGCAATTGAAGATTTCGGCGTGCGCGCGCGAAGAAAAAACGAATGTGTCCCATATGGTATTATTTGACAGGGATGATGGCCCTGGCAGGCGCGCAACCGTTGTTGCAGAAGTTCGAAGCACGTGAAAAAGTTGCTCGCAAGAGCCCGTTTGACAGAAATGTTGAAAAAGTATTGGGTTTCCTAAGAAATCCGCAAGAGCGCGCGGGATGAATTTTTGAAACTTTTTTTTTGAAAAACCATTGGGTTTTTCATGTTTTTATGTTAAAATCGCTACGAAAACTAAGGTTTTGGAAGGATTTCATCTTGCGCGCGCGAGTGTGCACTTCGTGTCATTTTTTGCAAAGGATTCTTGAAGTTTGGTTATGTTAGAACAAGACATGTCATTTTATATTGTTTTTTGAAAGGGAAAGCGGGCGTCAACAAAACAACCGGATCCGGACTCCCCCGTCTTGCCTGAGACTTCCTCACGAAAATGATGAAAATGTGGCTGCGGCCTAGGCGCGGCGAGGGGGGCGTGCACCAGGGGGCCCAACAATAATTATTCTTTAGAAGTAATAATATTCAACAACGAACGTCTTGCTTTTCAAGACGTTGGATGCCTGGCTTTCCACCCAGAACTTCGGCATCTGTCGGCCTTCTTTTCGGGCCCTGTGGCCATCAACCAACAACCCTGGACGAGAAGCAAGTGCCTCAGATCGGCCACGATCTATAATAGCAGGCAAATCATGCCGTTGGAAATCAGGGCCCTTTGCACGTCCAAGAGAGGGTCGTACAAAGCTATATGCACCAGGACCCTCTTTCCTTCTGATCCCCTGTGGTTCACGGCAAGAGGGTGTTACGGTTTGCTGAACTTTCTTGCTCAGGGAGCTGAGCCAAAAGGCTTCGGAGAACGGTGCCGACGACGAGAGAGAGAGAGAGAGAGAACGCGTCCTCCCTCCTCCATCCTGCTCGTGCTGCTGCGTTCCTTCGCCTCCTCCGCCTTCCTTTTCCCTCCTCCCCCTCCTTCCCTCTCTACTCCTGCCGCCCCCTCCCCCTCCTCACCCTGCTGGTGCAGCTGCTGCTGCTGCTGCTGCTGCTGCTGCTGCTGCTCATCGAGGGGAAGGCGCAAGAGCAGCAGAGTGAGGAGGAGCGAAGAGTCGACGAGGTTGAGTGCTGACGAGTAGGGGACGGAGGGGAAGGGGGAGCAGGGGGAGGAGGATGGGAAGCAGCAGGAACAACACAAAGAGAAGATGGAGAGGAGCAGGGGGATGGTCAGGAGAAGGGACGGGATGGTGATGCAGGATGGGATTAGAGTCGGCAGAGTCATCATGTGAGAGAAGGTCAATCGAACAGCGCTAGCAGAGCCTCGCGCAGAACAGCAGCGCGCGTCTTGATTATCTTGCGGCCGGCATCACTCGCATCCTAACCTTTGCCGTCGAAGCGACTTGAACACGTCGGAGAGTCTGCAGTGGCCAAACGGGTCATCGATCCATGAGGGCCATGGGCAATGCCACCCGCAATATCACTGTACCCTCTCTGATCGGGTGATCGTCAATGCGGGCTGGCGGGGCAATCGACGGGATGTACAGCAGCGCTCGCCTTTCGCGCCCCCTCTGCGCCCGCGGTGGCAGTGCAGGCGCCACTTCGGGCAGCAACTCCCCCTGCAATCCTCAAGCCCCCCACGTGTAGCATCCCCCCTCTGCTGTGCACCTGGTCTGCGCCAGCTTCCTAGAGATCGTCACGAGCACTGCGCGCAACGTCCATCTGTCGGAAGCTGGGCGAGGGTTGCTAAAACCGTGGCTGCTAAAACGGCCCTCCCGGAAGGAAAAAACGACTTCCCGGAATGAGGCGCGGCACGCGAAACAGTCAACGGGCTTCTTCCTGGAAGGACGAAGACAACTTCCCGGATGTCGATTTTAGCAGCCACGAATTTGGCAGCCCTTGCCCGGCTTCCAAATCTGGTCCACGACGTCCTCGAACAGCTTCGCTTTTGGCGCTTAACTCCTGCAGCGCCGTCTCCAACCGCAGCATCCTGGAACGGGAAGCAAGAGCCGGCAGACCCACCCCGAAGCCCCAAGAACGCAACAAGCCCGAATGCCCCCCCAAGAGGCCCCCAAGAGGCCCCCCCCAGGTTGCCAAGAAGCCACCGAAGGGGCCTCCGAAGGGGTCGGCGGTGCGGCGTAAGCTCGTGAATCCTTCTCCGGCTGCAGCATCTTGGAACGGGAAGCAGAGGCACGTGGCTAGACTGGCGTGGGAGCCGTGTTGCTCTCCATCTCCTCTATCCGCTTCTTGCATCGCGGGGCTCCGTCGCGGTCTGCTGCTCTGGTTTCAAACGAAACGACATGCTGCAAATCATCCTTGGACAGGTCCTGGTCAACCATCTTTGTTCAAGCCACCCTTGCCGATCCATCTTCAGCCCGCCCTGCTGGAGCTCGCGGCGGGAAGCTCAAAACTCCTGGGCCAGCCAGGCTGGGGAGGGAAGCGGGAGGGAAGAAGGAGAGCGAGGTCCATGGTGGCGGTGGGAGGGACGGGGGGAGGAGGCGACAGGGCGGAACAGAAGGAGGCAAGAAGATCTGCCTCTGTAGCGACTAGGCTCGCTGTGTGTGCGCAGTGCGCCGCGCACCGAAAGTAACGAATGTGACCTTCGGCAATGTAGACTCGAACCAGCGCCTCGAGGAACGAAGCGCACTGTGGTATGTGCAGTGGGCGCTATCCGCCCACCATCGGACACATCTCGGCGGCAGTTGTGTTGCACGCGGTGATGCGGTGTTTCGTCTGTGAACTTCTCGGCAAGAATGCCCAAGCGCCAAGTGAGGGTGGCAGCGAGCAGCGGGTCAAGGACAATGGGCGAGACTATTTTCCACAGCTGGCCGCGGGCCGCAGTGCATGCACTGGGGCTGGTTGTCCGTCTGGCACGGGCAACCAACAAAAAAACAAGGGCGGGCCTCGAACTGTAGGCGGCGCGAGGTGACTATGTGACCCGCCCTCCGATCAATTTTTTGATGGCCGCACTCTGGACCGCACACCTGTACTTGGCAATACGGTCTTTTGGGCAGCCCCAAGCATGGTCAACGCCGATCAGATCGAGCTCAGCCTTCGGAGCCCACTTTGACAGGCGGGCACGAATGGTACATGCAACGCTGTCTGGAAAAGGAGAGCAAGCACGGCACCGTGCGGACAGGCGGGAGGCCCCGCCCCTCCGCAGCCGCAACAAAGGCCTTACAGTGGAGGCCATTCCACAAGAAACCTTCCGCAAGAAACCCAACCCTGAGACCCCAGGGAGTCTTTCGATTCTTCGGGGGGGAACGCCACGCTTACCATATCAAAAGCATCGAAACCCAAGAAACCCAAGGCACCCTGGAGGCGAGCAAGGTGCTTCTTGGCATGGATCTCCACTGTACGTGTTGCCTTGCGCCTGCGATATCTCGCCGAAGGTGCGTTTCTGTCCAGGGAAGCACGCTGCGGCCTCCCCGAGGTAGTAGACCAGGGAGCAAATCTTCCAGAACTTGGGCGAGCCGTCTCCCACGCTGGACGGCGGAGCCCGCAAGACAGCCCCTACACTCAGTGATCGTGTCGGCGGCCATCCTCATCGCCGCAGCCAGCCCAAACACCTCGAGCGAAGGTCTTGATCAGGGACCACTCCGCGAGGCCGAAATACATTGCCCTGATCCCGCAATTCACTGACAAATGCAAGATTCGGTGGACCGCCAAGTGCCCAATGTCACGGAAGATCGTGGACTCAGGCTGCATGAATTACGCATTGTCGCACACCGCTGACAACGCGCATGTGCGGTACAATGCTACGGCAATCGATGTAGGTGCACCCGCTGCTGCTAGCTCCGCCAAGCTCAGTTTGTATGTTGTAAGCGGCAATGCCCGCGAGCCCATGTCTGCGCCAGGTCCGACCATCACGCCGAGGTACTTCGCGAACGCATGCGCCCCGCAGTCGCCCCAAGGTTCGCACGTGTCCCGCAATGTCTGCTAGGACTCCGTGATCATGATCTGGCCGAGTGCGCCCGGCAGCGACACCAACACGCACTTCGATTGAACACAGGTCCGCAGGAGGAGCTCCGCCGCCCGTGGCCCTGACCTTACAGCAGATCCAAGGACCGAATCACAAAGCCAATATCGTCCGCGCGTGCTTTCAGGCAGGAGTAAGGATGCGTGTCGGACGCCTTCGCGAACCGCTCGGGTATCAGGCTGGGTGCAACACACCAGATCGTGCCGCTCAGCGGGCAGCCCTGTGCTATTCCAGCAGTGACCGTGAAGACGTGTTGGAGGTCGCCCTTCAGGTAAGCGTAGGTGGCCGCGTTGTCGTAGAAGGCCTGCGCGGCGTCCAGTAGGCCGCCATCCAGCCCGCCAGCACGCACAGCCGCCCAGAGCCACTTCTGGTTCATCCAGGGGAAGGCCCCCACGAGCTCGGAGGCGACGAACATGGCGTGCTGGTACTTGTTGCCTTCCGACTGCGCCACCCAGCCGAAGGCGCGCTCCATCGCGTCGATGTGGAGGAATCCACGTTGTGCTTGTTCTGCTGCAGCCGCAACGTTCCTACGCAGAGCTCTGTTGCAGCTCGCTGCTAGTGCCTTTGCGCTGGTGCTCTTCGGCTGGGGAGGTCGTAGTTGCTGCACCGTCCGCTTGGTGAGTATGCTATCTGCAGGGCCGTCGCCCTTGGGGATCGGCACCAGGATCGATGCGTTGAAAACCGCACATGGTGGGAACCCGCAGACCAGCTGGTTCAGCACGTCCATGAGAATGCCGATGCCTTTCGAGCACCGCCACATAAAATGTGGTTGTACATATGGTCCTGGTGCTGTGCGCGTTCATCTTCTGCTAATTTCTTCCAGCGTTCTGATCGGTGCAGCGCAGTCGCCCATGCCGAGGTCCTCCGCATTCATCTCGAGGAAACAGTCGAGGAGCTCCTTCCGCACGGTCTTTGACGCAAAGATGTCGCCCCAGTATTCTTTGATCTTCCTCAGGAGGTCACCCTGCTCGTAGATGTCCTCCCCGTCGTGCGTGATGGCTCGGCGGACCATCTTTCGCATCGTGGGCGCCCACAACTTGGCACGCCGTGTCGCCACCTTCCTTGCTGCATGTCGCTCCACGATGCGGGTCTCGTCTGCGCTGTCGATTCGTTTCTGGATGGTCTCCAGTCTTGCTTGATCGTGATGATGCTGTGGCTGTGTAGCGGCGAAGGCACGCCTGAAGGGAACCGCGTGCAGGAGTTCTACTCGCCCTCTACGACCTTGGAGATGTTTTTGCGCAAGCTCCTCCTCGCGAGTGAGTGTGGTGGCCAAATATCTTGACGTCGTTGCGCCAGGTATGGCCCTTGCACTTGAGCGGTCTATGATGAGGCAGCTGTTGGTGTTCGGCGCCTTCTGCTTCAGCGACGTGTTGCGGGAGGGAACGAAGGAGGAGGAGGAGGAGGAGGAGGAGGAGGAGGAGCAGGAGGAGGAGGAGGAGGAGGAGGAGGAGGCAGAGGACGTGCGTGGCATTCAACAGGGAGTGCGGGCATGGAGGCGCAGAAGAAGGTGGAGGAAGAAACGGTGGAGGAGGGAAGCCAAGACGCGTGAGTTGCGGACGCCGGGCGCCGCGAACTCAAAACGAGGGCCCAACTCCACAGGAGGGTTGGGAGCGACCGACGACGACGACGACCAAACCAAGTCGCCGCGAAATCCCAAACTGGAGCAACTTTTCTGATTATGCGCGATGACGCCTGTGACTGGCCCCGCCCCTCCCGCCACCCCCTCCCACATCTTAGTCCCGTCGCGACTCGCGCCGGCGCCGCCTGGGAATTGATTGGGCCACTCTTAGGCATTCCCAAACGGCGCCGGCACCGTCACGCCCGCCAGGGTCGGAACCTTTTGGATAGCGTCTTGCGGCAGCGGCCCCGGCGACACGCTATGCCCCGCGAGCGGATGCCGCATCGCTCTGCTCCGCCTGGCGGAAGGCTGGGAACGGCCCAAGACGTCGACGCTCGGGGACCAGGATGTGGATAGCGTGTCACGCCGGAGCGTGGTGGGCCAGAAACGACGGCGCGACACATGAAGCCAAAGTCAACGAACGTAGTCCAACCAGCCCTTTAGGTCGTGAATTGTTTACGTAGGTGGTATCTTCGTCCAACCCCCTTCTTCTCCCTCGGGGAGGGATTGGTCACTGTTCCCTATGAATATACACCCCCTCCCCCAGGCGACTAGGAGCCAACCCAGGTCCATTCGGGCACCCCCCCACCATCCTTTCTTTAAAAATTATCCAAGCAAAGCAACCTAACAGCGATGTGTAGGAGCATATCTGGAAGCATTCCCCTTAAGATTCAGATGAGAATCCAGTTGTAGAATTGTGCTGTTCTCGCAGTCGTAGTCGCATTCGCGATGACAGTCGCAGTGGCAACGGCAGTCACAGACACAGCCTCAGCCTCAGCCTGCCTCAGCCTCAGCCTCAGCCTCAGCCTCAGCCTCAGCCTCAGCCTCAGCCTCAGCCTCAGCCTGCTCAGCCTCAGCCTCAGCCTCAGCCTCAGTCTCAGCCTTCAGCCTCGGCCTCAGCCTCAGCCTGCCTCAGCCTCAGCCTGCCTCAGCCTGCCTCAGCAGCATCAGCCTGCCTGCCTCAGCATTCAAAATGTGGCCCGGGAATGGAGTTCTGGGAACTCGAAGAACACGAAGTGGCCTACAGTTGGCTCCGGGCATTCAAAATCATGCCCAGGAATGGAGTTCTGGGAACTCGAAGACACGAAGTGGCCTACAGTTGGCTCCGGGCATCCAAAATCTGGCCCGGGAATGGAGTTCTGGGAACTCGAAGACCACGAAGTGGCCTACAGTTGGCTCCGGGCATCCAAAATGTGGCCCGGGAATGGAGTTCTGGGAACTCGAAGAGCACGAAGTGGCCTACAGTTGGCTCCGGGCATCCAAAATGTGGCCCGGGAATGGAGTTCTGGGAAATCGAAGAGCACGAAGTGGCCTACAGTTGGCTCCGGGCATTCAAAATGTGGCCCGGGAATGGAGTTCTGGGAAGTCGAAGAGCACGAAGTGGCCTACAGTTGGCTCCGGGCATTCAGAATGTGGCCCGGGAATGGAGTTCTGGGAGGTCGAAGAGCACGAAGTGTGTGACTGTTGGCTAAAAACGACTTCTGCGGCACCCTGTCCGGCACCCGCCCAGACCCCCCTGTGGAGTCATCTGCTGCTCTCTTTTGACCCTACTAGAAACCTATCAGAACAAGCTGTTAGGTAACAATACGAAACACCCTCTGCCCCCACCATCCCTGTGTAAAAAATTATCCCGGCAAAGCAACCTAACAGCGATGTGTAGAAGCATATATGAAAGCATTCCCCTTAAGATTCAGACGAAAATCCAGTTGTAGAATTCTGCTGTTCTCGCAGTCGTAGTCGCATTCGCGATGACAGTCGCAGCGGCAACGGCAGTCGCAGTCACAGCCTCAGCCTCAGCCTGCCTCAGCCTCAGCCTCAGCCTGCCTCAGCCTCAGCCTGCCTCAGCCTCAGCCTCAGCCTGCTTCAGCCTCAGCCTCAGTCTGCCTTCAGCCTCGGCCTCAGCCTCAGCCTGCCTCAGCCTCAGCCTGCATCAGCCTCAGCCTCAGCCTCAGCCTGCCTCAGCATCAGCCTGCCTCAGCCTCAGCCTCAGCCTGCCTCAGCCTCAGCCTCAGTTTGCTTCAGCCTCAGCCTCAGTCTGCCTTCAGCCTCGGCCTCAGCCTCAGCCTGCCTCAGCCTCAGCCTGCCTCGGCCGCAGCATCAGCCTGCCTCAGCATTCAAAATGTGGCCCAGGAGTGGAGTTCTGGGAACTAGAAGAACACGAAGTGGCCTACAGTTGGCTCCGGGCATTCAAAATCATGCCCAGGAATGGAGTTCTGGGAACTCGAAGACCACGAAGTGGCCTACAGTTAGCTCCGGGCATCTCAAAATGTGGCCCGGGAATGGAGTTCTGGGAACTCGAAGAGCACGAAGTGGCCTACAGTTGGCTCCGGGCATCCAAAATGTGGCCCGGGAATGGAGTTCTGGGAACTCGAAGAGCACGAAGTGGCCTACAGTTGGCTCCGGGCATTCAAAATGTGGCCCGGGAATGGAGTTCTGGGGACTCGAAGACCACGAAGTGGCCTACAGTTGGCTCCGGGCATTCAAAATGTGGCCCGGGAATGGAGTTCTGGGAACTCGAAGAGCACGAAGTGGCCTACAGTTGGCTCCGGGCATTCAAATGTGGCCCGGGAATGGAGTTCTGGGGGACTCGAAGACCACGAAGTGGCCTACAGTTGGCTCCGGGCATTCAAAATGTGCCCGGGAATGGAGTTCTGCTGGGAAGTCGAGAGACCACGAAGTGGCCTACTAGTTGGCTCCTGGGCTATTTAGAATGTGGCCCGGGAATGGGGGGGAGGAGGGGGGGGGGGGGGGGGGGGGGGGGGGGGAGGGGGGGGAAGGGGGGGGGGGGGGGGGAGGGGGTCTGGGGCGCGGGGGGGTGGGGGGGGGGGGGAGGGGGAGTTCTGGGAGGTCGAAGAGCACGAAATGTGTGACTGTTGGCTTAAAACTACTTCTGCGGCACCCTGTCCGGCACCCGCCCAGACCCCCCTGTGGAGTCATCTGCTGCTCTCTTTTGAGACTACTAGAAACCTATCAGTCTTCGCTGTTAGGTAATTATCCCGGCAAAGCAACCTAACAGCGATGTGTAGAAGCATATCTGAAAGCATTCCCCTTAAGATTCAGATGAAAATCCAATTGTAGAATTCTGCTGTTCTCGCAGTCGTAGTCGCATTCGCGATGACAGTCGCAGCGGCAACGGCAGTCGCAGTCACAGCCTCAGCCTCAGCCTGCCTCAGCCTCAGCTCAGCCTCAGCCTCAGCCTGCCTCAGCCTCAGCCTCAGCCTCAGCCTGCTTCAGCCTCAGCCTCAGTCTGCCTTCAACCTCGGCCTCAGCCTCAGAGTGCCTCAGCCTCAGCCTGCTTCAGCCTCAGCCTCAGCCTCAGCCTGCCTCAGCATCAGCCTGCCTCAGCCTCAGCCTCAGCCTGCCTCAGCCTCGGCCTCAGTCTGCTTCAGCCTCAGCCTCAGTCTGCCTTCAGCCTCGGCCTCAGCCTCAGACTGCCTCAGCCCCAGCCTGCCTCGACCGCAGCATCAGCCTGCCTCAGCATTCAAAATGTGGCCCAGGAAAGGGAGTTCTGGGAAGTCGAAGAGCACGAAGTTGCCTACAGTTGGCAACGGGCATTCAAAATGTGGCCCGGGAATGGAGTTCTGGGAACTCGAAGAGCACGAAATGGCCTAGAGTTGGCTCCGGGCATTCAAAATGTGGCCCGGGAATGGAGTTCTGGGGGCTCGAAGAGCACGAAGTGGCCTAAAGTGGGCTCCGGGCATTCAAAATGTGGCCCGGGAATGGAGTTCTGGGGGCTCGAAGACCGCGAAGTGGCCTACAGTTGGCTCCGGGCATTCAAAATGTGGCCCGGGAATGGAGTTCTGGGAAGTCGAAAAGCACGAAGTGGCCTACAGTTGGCTCCGGGCATTCAGAATGTGGCCCGGGAATGGAGTTCTGGGAGGTCGAAGAGCACGAAGTGTGTGACTGTTTGCTTAAAACGATTTCTGCGGCACCCTGTCCGGCACCCGCCCAGACCCCCCTGTGGAGTCATCTGCTGCTTTCTTTTTAGCCCATTAGAAACCTATCAGTCTTCGCTGTTAGGTAACTATACAAAACACACTTTGTCTCCAAATTCGGAGCATGCGCAGCGAACCCGATGCGGACTCCCCCCACCATCCCTATCAAACAAAAATTATCCCGGCAAAGCAACCTAACAGCGATGTGTAGGAGCATATCTGGAAGCATTCCCCTTAAGATTTAGATGAGAATCCAGTTGTAGAATTGTGCTGTTCTCGCAGTCGTAGTCGCATTCGCGATGACAGTCGCAGTGGCAACGGCAGTCACAGACACAGCCTCAGCCTCAGCCTGCCTCAGCCTCAGCCTCAGCCTGCCTCAGCCTCAGCCTGCCTCAGCCTCAGCCTCAGCCTGCTTCAGCCTCAGCCTCAGTCTGCCTTCAGCCTCGGCGTCAGCTTCAGGCTGCCTCAGCCTCAGCCTGCATCAGCCTCAGCCTGGAGGCTCAGCCTCCAGTCCTCCTCAGCATCAGGCCTGCCTCTGCCTCACCTCAGCTGCCTCAGCAGTCAAAATTGTCCCCTT